ATTCTCTTTAGCTAGTTAGCTAGAGCCAGCACACATAAACACATTAACCAAAGCTAGCGCTTAGCTACGTGCTAATCACTAGCTATGTGCTAATCGCTAGCTAACCGCTAATCGCTAGCTAAGCGCTAATTGCTAGCTATGCGCTAATCGCTAGCTAAGTGCTAGCTTTGGTTAATGTGTTTAATTGTATTATGCTCCTGAAGGAGTGCTAATGTAAATTAAGGAACAGCTCATAGTAGGGTAAAATATTTAAGGTGTATTGAACTTATTTTGTGTTAATATTAAAATCATTCAGCTTTAAATTGTTTGTTTGTTAGCCACCTGCTAATTATCTTTAGCTAGCCAGCTAGCTAGCTTATTAATGCCTTGTCATTCTCTGTAGCTAGCTGTGTGTGTGTGTGTGTGTGTGTGTGTGTGTGTGTGAGCAGGCTTTGGTTGTCATGGCAATCAGGGGAGCCCACAGCAGCTGCGCATGCTCTCTCTCTGTCTCTAACTCCTCAGAGAGACAGAAAACAATTAAAATGAATCCCCTCGAACGCATGGCCAGGAACGACCGAAATGAAAACCGAAAACACCGTGAGCGTCGTCATCTTGTTGACTATAGCGCTGCCGAGTTTCAGTGGTTAAAGTTAAAAAATGTGACCTGGGGAGATTGAGAGAGAAGAGGTTCAACGAGCGTTTTTCAAGATTCCTCCTCTCCATTTTAATATGGGAGTAGATGGGGCCGTGAGAGGGAGTTGCTGGCGCATCAGTGCGTTTCCCGCCAAAACTATTTGTCTGACAGCTTCAGCAGTGGTATCACTGCGACCCCAACGGATTTACCTACGTTTCTATCTATAAATTATTTCTGTAGAGTGAAATTTGTGGCCATGACAGCAGTTTACAAATTTATTTTTAGACAAATTTTTCTCTCTCCCCACACTCTAGCGATGATGTCACACACTCTGGCAGTTTTTTTCAGTTGGAGGTTCTCGCAATACACACCCATTCATTTTTTGGACCGGTTTTCGGCGATTTACCGGCAAACCGTTTGGCGAAATTCTTAGAAAAGTCATAGCACTAATGTCCTCAACGAGCCGCACGTTTTGATACCTTTTTTGTGTATGTGCGACAAAAGCTCTGGGAGAAGAAGCGCGCCGAAAAACGTACGGAAGAATAATAATAAGTTTAACTAGAAAATTCCTAAAGCAATTTTGATTGTGCCTTGCTCTGGCCCATATGTTAATACCATGTCTACGTGCTAACCGCTAGCTCTGCGCTAATCGCTAGCTAAGTGCTAACCGCTAATCGCTAGCTAAGTGCTAGCTTTGGTTAATGTGTTTAATTGTATTATGCTCCTGAAGGAGTGCTAATGTAAATTAAGGAACAGCTCATAGTAGGGTAAAATATTTAAGGTGTATTGTTCTTATTTTGTGTTAATATTAAAATCATTCAGCTTTAAATTGTTTGCTTGTTAGCCACCTGCTAATTATCTTTAGCTAGCCAGCTAGCGCTAGATTATTAATGCCATGTAATCCTCCCTATAGCATATTGATAACCTGTCATCCTCCTTAGCTAGCGCTAGCATATTAATATCATGTCATTCTCTTTAGCTAGCTAGCTAAAGCTAGCACACATAAACCAAAGCTAGCGCTTAGCTACGTGCTAATCGCTAGCTAACCGCTAATCGCTAGCTACGTGCTAATCGCTAGCTAACCGCTAATCGCTATCTACATGCTAATCGCTAGCTAAGCGCTAATCGCTAGCTAAGTGCTAGCTTTGGTTAATGTGTTTAATTGTATTATGCTCCTGAAGGAGTGCTAATGTAAATTAAGGAACAGCTCATAGTAGGGTAAAATATTTAAGGTGTATTGAACTTATTTTGTGTTAATATTAAAATCATTCAGCTTTAAATTGTTTGCTTGTTAGCCACCTGCTAATTATCTTTAGCTAGCCAGCTAGCTCTAGATTATTAATGCCATGTAATCCTCCCTATAGCATATTGATAACCTGTCATCCTCCTTAGCTAGCGCTAGCATATTAATATCATGTCATTCTCTTTAGCTAGCTAGCTAAAGCTAGCACACATAAACCAAAGCTAGCGCTTAGCTACGTGCTAATCGCTAGCTAACCGCTAATCGCTAGCTACGTGCTAATCGCTAGCTAACCGCTAATCGCTATCTACATGCTAATCGCTAGCTAAGCGCTAATCGCTAGCTAAGTGCTAGCTTTGGTTAATGTGTTTAATTGTATTATGCTCCTGAAGGAGTGCTAATGTAAATTAAGGAACAGCTCATAGTAGGGTAAAATATTTAAGGTGTATTGAACTTATTTTGTGTTAATATTAAAATCATTCAGCTTTAAATTGTTTGCTTGTTAGCCACCTGCTAATTATCTTTAGCTAGCCAGCTAGCGCTAGCTTATTAATGCTTGTCATTCTCTGTAGCTAGCTGTGTGTGTGTGTGTGTGTGTGTGTGTGTGTGAGCAGGCTTTGGTTGTCATGGCAATCAGGGGAGCCCACAGCAGCTGCGCACGCTCTCTCTCTGTCTCTAACTCCTCAGAGAGACAGAAAACATTTAAAATGAATCCCCTAAAAAGCATGGCCAGGAACGACCGAAATGAAATCCGAAAAGACCGTGAGCGTCGTCATCTTGTTGACTATAGCGCTGCCGAGTTTCAGTGGCTAAAGTTAAAAAATGTGACCTGGACAGATTGAGAGAGAAGAGGTTCAACGAGCTCCTTTAAACATTCCTCCTCTAAAATTAACATGGGAGTAGATGGGGCCGTGAGAGGGTGTTGCTGGCGCATCAGTGCGTTTCCCGCCAAAACTATTTGTCTGACAGCTTCAGCAGTAGTATCACTGCGACCCCAACGAATTTACCTACGTTTCTATCTATAAATTATTTCGGTAGAGTGAAATTTGTGGCCATGACAGCAGTTTACAAATTTATTTTTCGACAAATTTTTCTCTCTCCCCACACTCTAGCGATGATGTCACGCACTCTGGCGGTTTTTTTCAGTTGGAGGTTCTCGCAATACACACCCATTCATTTTTTGGACCGGTTTTCGGCGATTTACCGGCAAACCGTTTGGCGGAATTCTTAGAAAAGTCATAGCACTCGATTCCCGGCCGAGCCGCACGTTTTGATACCTTTTTTGTGTATGTGCGACAAAAGCTGCGGGAGGAGTAGCGCGCCGAAAAAACGTACGGAAGAATAATAAGTTTAATAAGCCCGAGGGATAATAGTATTGTGCTTGCTTATGCAAGGCACAATAACTAGAAAATTCCTAAAGCAATTTTGATTGTGCCTTGCTCTGGCCCATATGTTAATACCATGTCTACGTGCTAACCGCTATTCGCTAGCAGTGCGCTAATTACCTCTTATTAATGCCATGTAATCCTCCCTGTAGCATATTGATAACCTGTCATCCTCCTTAGCTAGCGCTAGCATATTAATATCATGTCATTCTCTTTAGCTAGCTAGCTAGAGCTAGCACACATAAACACATAAACCAAAGCTAGCACTTAGCTACGTGCTAATCGCTAGCTAACCGCTACTCGCTAGCTACGTGCTAATCGCTAGCTAACTGCTAATCGCTAGCTACATGCTAATCGCTAGCTACATGCTAATCGCTAGCTACATGCTAATCGCTAGCTAAGCGCTAATCGCTAGCCGTGCGCTAATCGCTAGCTAAGTGCTAGCTTTGGTTAATGTGTTTAATTGTATTATGCTCCTGAAGGAGTGCTAATGTAAATTAAGGAACAGCTCATAGTAGGGTAAAATATTTAAGGTGTATTGTTCTTATTTTGTGTTAATATTAAAATCATTCAGCTTTAAATTGTTTGCTTGTTAGCCCCCTGCTAATTATCTTTAGCTAGCCAGCTAGCGCTAGCTTATTAATGTCTTGTCATTCTCTGTAGCTAGCTGTGTGTGTGTGTGTGTGTGTGTGTGTGTGTGTGTGTGTGTGAGCAGGCTTTGGTTGTCATGGCAATCAGGGGAGCCCACAGCAGCTGCGCGCGCTCTCTCTCTGTCTCTAACTCCTCAGAGAGACAGAAAACATTTAAAATGAATCCCCCTCAAAAGCATGGACAGGAACGACCGAAATGAAAACCGAAAAGACCGTGAGCGTCGTCATCTTGTTGACTATAGCGCTGCCGAGTTTCAGTGGTTAAAGTTAAAAAATGTGACCTGGGGAGATTGAGAGAGAAGAGGTTCAACGAGCGTTTTTCAAGAATCCTGCTCTCCATTTTAATATGGGAGTAGATGGGGCCATGAGAGGGTGTTGCTGGCGCATCAGTGCGTCTCCCGCCAAAACTATTTGTCTGACAGCTTCAGCAGTAGTATCACTGCGACCCCAACGAATTTACCTACGTTTCTATCTATAAATTATTTCTGTAGAGTGAAATTTGTGGCCATGACAGCAGTTTACAAATTTATTTTTCGACAAATTTTTCCCTTCTCCCCACACTCTAGCGATGATGTCACGCACTCTGGCAGTTTTTTTCAGTTGAGGTTCTCGCAATACACACCCATTCATTTTTTTTTACCGGTTTTTGGCGATTTACCGGCAAACCGTTTGGCGAAACGCTTAGAAAAGTCATAGCACTCGATTCCCGGCCGAGCCGCACGTTTTGATACCTTTTTTGTGTATGTGCGACAAAAGCTGCGGGAGGAGTAGCGCGCCGAAAAACGTACGGAAGAATAATAATAATAAGCCCGAGGGATAGTAGTATTGTGCTTGCTTATGCAAGGCACAATAACTAGAAAATTCCTAAAGCAATTTTGATTGTGCCTTGCTCTGGCCCATATGTTAATACCATGTCTACGTGCTAACCGCTATTTAACCGCTAATCGCTAGCTACATGCTAATCACTAGCTAAGCGCTAATCGCTAGCTAAGTGCTAGCTGTGGTTAATGTGTTTAATTGTATTATGCTCCTGAAGGAGTGCTAATGTAAATTAAGGAACAGCTCATAGTAGGGTAAAATATTTAAGGTGTATTGTTCTTATTTTGTGTTAATATTAAAATCATTCAGCTTTAAATTGTTTGCTTGTTAGCCACCTGCTAATTGTCCTTAGCTAGCCAGCTAGCGCTAGCTTATTAATGCCTTGTCATTCTCTGTAGCTAGCTGTGTGTGTGTGTGTGTGTGTGTGTGTGTGTGTGTGTGAGCAGGCTTTGGTTGTCATGGCAATCAGGGGAGCCCACAGCAGCTGCGCACGCTCTCTCTCTGTCTCTAACTCTTGAGAGAGACAGAAAACAATTAAAACGAATCCCCTCAAAAGCATGGCCAGGAACGACCGAAGTGAAAACCGAAAAGACCGTGGGCGTCATCATCTTGTTGACTATAGCACTGCCGAGTTTCAGTGGCTAAAGTTAAAAAATGTGACCTGGGGAGATTGAGAGAGAAGAGGTTCAACGAGCGTTTTTCAAGATTCCTCCTCTAAAATTAACATGGGAGTAGATGGGGCCGTGAGAGGGCGTTGCTGGCGCATCAGTGCGTCTCCCGCCAAAACTATTTGTCTGACCGCTTCAGCAGTAGTATCACTGCGACCCCAACGGATTTACCTACGTTTCTATCTATAAATTATTTCGGTAGAGTGAAATTTGTGGCCATGACAGCAGTTTACAAATTTATTTTTCGACAAATTTTTCCCTTCTCCCCCACACTCTAGCGATGATGTCACGCACTCTGGCAGTTTTTTTCAGTTGGAGGTTCTCGCAATACACACCCATTCATTTTTTGGACCGGTTTTTGGCGATTTATCGGCAAACCGTTTGGCGGAATTCTTAGAAAAGTCATAGCACACCATTCCCGGCCGAGCCGCACGTTTTGATACCTTTTTTGTGTATGTGCGACAAAAACTGCGGGAGAAGAAGCGCGCCGAAAAACAGGCGGAAGAATAATAAGAAAACCTAGAAAATTCCTAAAGAAATTTTGATTGTGCCTTGCTCTGGCCCATATGTTAATACCATGTCTACGTGCTAACCGCTATTTAACCGCTAATCGCTAGCTAACCGCTAATCGCTAGCTACATGCTAATCACTAGCTAAGCGCTAATCGCTAGCTAAGTGCTAGCTTTGGTTAATGTGTTTAATTGTATTATGCTCCTGAAGGAGTGCTAATGTAAATTAAGGAACAGCTCATAGTAGGGTAAAATATTTAAGGTGTATTGTTCTTATTTTGTGTTAATATTAAAATCATTCAGCTTTAAATTGTTTGCTTGTTAGCCACCTGCTAATTATCTTTAGCTAGTCAGCTAGCGCTAGATTATTAATGCCATGTAATCCTCCCTATAGCATATTGATAACCTGTCATCCTCCATAGCTAGCGCTAGCATATTAATATCATGTCATTATCTTTAGCTAGCTAGCTAGAGCTAGCACACATAAACACATAAACCAAAGGTAGCGCTTAGCTACGTGCTAATCGCTAGCTAACCGCTAATCGCTAGCTACATGCTAATCACTAGCTAACCGCTAATAGCTAGCTAAGCGCTAGCTTTGGTTAATGTGTTTAATTGTATTATGCTCCTGAAGGAGTGCTAATGTAAATTAAGGAACAGCTCATAGTAGGGTAAAATATTTAAGGTGTATTGTTCTTATTTTGTGTTAATATTAAAATCATTCAGCTTTAAATTGTTTGCTTGTTAGCCACCTGCTAATTGTCCTTAGCTAGCCAGCTAGCGCTAGCTTATTAATGCCTTGTCATTCTCTGTAGCTAGCTGTGTGTGTGTGTGTGTGTGTGTGTGTGTGTGTGTGTGTGTGTGTGTGTGTGTGTGAGCAGGCTTTAGTTGTCATGGCAATCAAAGGAGCCCACAGCAGCTGCGCGCGCTCTCTCTCTGTCTCTAACTCTTGAGAGAGACAGAAAACAATTAAAACGAATCCCCTCAAAAGCATGGCCAGGAACGACCGAAATGAAAACCGAAAACACCGTGAGCGTTGTCATCTTGTTGACTATAGCGTTGCCGAGTTTCAGTGGCTAAAGTTAAAAAATGTGACCTGGGGAGATTGAGAGAGAAGAGGTTCAACGAGCGTTTTTCAGGATTCCTCCTCTAAAATTAACATGGGAGTAGATGGGGCCGTGAGAGGGCGTTGCTGGCGCATCAGTGCGTTTCCCGCCAAAACTATTTGTCTGAAAGCTTCAGCAGTAGTATCACTGCGACCCCAACGAATTTACCTACGTTTCTATCTATAAATTATTTCTGTAGAGTGAAATTTGTGGCCATGACAGCAGTTTACAAATTTATTTTTCGACAAATTTTCTCTCTCCCCACACTCTAGCGATGACATCACGCACTCTGGCAGTTTTTTTCAGTTGGAGGTTCTCGCAATACACACCCATTCATTTTTTGGACCGGTTTTTGGCGATTTATCGGAAAACCGATTGGCGAAATTCTTAGAAAAGTCATAGCACTCGATTCCCGGCCGAGCCGCACGTTTTGATACCTTTTTTGTGTACGTGCGACAAAAGCTCCGGGAGAAGAAGCGCGCCGAAAAACGTACGGAAGAATAAAATATTATAACTAGAAAATTCCTAAAGCAATTTTGATTGTGCCTTGCTCTGGCCCATATGTTAATACCATGTCTACGTGCTAACCGCTATTTAACCGCTCATCGCTAGCTCTGCGCTAATCGCTAGCTAAGTGCTAATCGCTAGCTCTGTGCTAATCGCTAGCTAAGTGCTAACCGCTAATCGCTAGCTAAGTGCTAGCTTTGGTTAATGTGTTTAATTGTATTATGCTCCTGAAGGAGTGCTAATGTAAATTAAGGAACAGCTCATAGTAGGGTAAAATATTTAAGGTGTATTTTTCTTATTTTGTGTTAATATTAAAATCATTCAGCTTTAAATTGTTTGCTTGTTAGCCACCTTCTAATTATCTTTAGCTAGCCAGCTAGCTCTAGCTTATTAATGCCATGTAATCCTCCCTATAGCATATTGATAACCTGTCATCCTCCTTAGCTAGCACTAGCATATTAATACCATGTCATTCTCTTTAGCTAGCTAGCTTGAGCTAGCACACATAAACACATTAACCAAAGGTAGCGCTTAGCTACGTGCTAATCGCTAGCTAAGCGCTAATCGCTAGCTAAGTGCTAGCTTTGGTTAATGTGTTTAATTGTATTATTCTCCTGAAGGAGTGCTAATGTAAATTAAGGAACAGCTCATAGTAGGGTAAAATATTTAAGGTGTATTGTTCTTATTTTGTGTAAATATTAAAATCATTCAGCTTTAAATTGTTTGCTTGTTAGCCACCTGCTAATTATCTTTAGCTAGCCAGCTAGCGCTAGCTTATTAATGCCTTGTCATTCTCTGTAGCTAGCTGTGTGTGTGTGTGTGTGTGTGTGTGTGTGTGTGAGCAGGCTTTGGTTGTCATGGCAATCAGGGGAGCCCACAGCAGCTGCGCGCACTCTCTCTGTCTCTAACTCCTCAGAGAGACAGAAAACAATTAAAACGAATCCCCTCAAAAGCATGGCCAGGAACGACCGAAATGAAAACCGAAAACACCGTGGGCGTCGTCATCTTGTTGACTATAGCGCTGCCAAGTTTTAGTGGTTTAAGTTAAAAAATGTGACCTGGGGAGATTGAGAGAGAAGAGGTTCAACGAGCGTCTTTCAAGATTTGTCATCTAAAATTAACATGGGAGTAGATGGGGCCGTGAGAGGGCGTTGCTGGCGCATCAGTGCGTCTCCCGCCAAAACTATTTGTCTGACAGCTTCAGCAGTAGTATCACTGCGACCCCAACGAATTTACCTACGTTTCTATCTATAAATTATTTCTGTAGAGTGAAATTTGTGGCCATGACAGCAGTTTACAAATTTATTTTTCGACAAATTTTTCTCTCTCCCCACACTCTAGCGATGATGTCACGCACTCTGGCAGTTTTTTTCAGTTGGAGGTTCTCGCAATACACACCCATTCATTTTTTGGACCGGTTTTTGGCGATTTATCGGCGAACCGTTTGGCGAAATTCTTAGAAAAGTCATAGCACTCGATTCCCGGCCGAGCCGCACGTTTTGATACCTTTTTTGTGTATGTGCGACAAAAGCTGCGGGAGAAGAAGCGCGCCGAAAAACGTACGGAAGAATAATAATAAATATAATAATAAGTATGGGGAAGAGTAGTATTGTGCTTGCTTATGCAAGGCACAATAATAAGCACGAGGGATAGTAGTATTGTGCTTGCTTTGCAAGGCACAATAATAAGCAAAGAGAAGAGTAGTATTGTGCTTGCTTATGCAAGGCACAATAACTAGAAAATTCCTAAAGCAATTTTGATTGTGCCTTGCTCTGGCCCATATGTTAATACCATGTCTACGTGCTAACCGCTAATCGCTAGCTGTGCGCTAATCTCTAGCTAACCGCTCATCGCTAGCTCTGCGCTAATCGCTAGCTAAGTGCTAACCGCTAATCGCTAGCTAAGTGCTAGCTTTGGTTAATGTGTTTAATTGTATTATGCTCCTGAAGGAGTGCTAATGTAAATTAAGGAACAGCTCATAGTAGGGTAAAATATTTAAGGTGTATTGTTCTTATTTTGTGTTAATATTAAAATCATTCAGCTTTAAATTGTTTGTTTGTTAGCCACCTTCTAATTATCTTTAGCTAGCCAGCTAGCGCTAGATTATTAATGCCATGTAATCCTCCCTATAGCATATTGATAACCTGTCATCCTCCTTAGCTAGCGCTAGCATATTAATATCATGTCATTCTCTTTAGCTAGCTAGCTAGAGCTAGCACTCATAAACACATAAACCAAAGGTAGCGCTTAGCTACGTGCTAATCGCTAGCTAACCGCTAATCGCTAGCTACATGCTAATCGCTAGCTACATGCTAATCGCTAGCTAAGCGCTAATCGCTAGCTAAGTGCTAGCTTTGGTTAATGTGTTTAATTGTGTTATGCTCCTGAAGGAGAGCTAATGTAAATTAAGGAACAGCTCAGAGTAGGGTAAAATATTTAAGGTGTATTGAACTTATTTTGTGTTAATATTAAAATCATTCAGCTTTAAATTGTTTGTTTGTTAGCCACCTTCTAATTATCTTTAGCTAGCCAGCTAGCGCTAGCTTATTGTTGTCTTGTCATTCTCTGTAGCTAACTGTGTGTGTGTGTGTGTGTGTGTGTGTGTGTGTGTGAGCAGGCTTTGGTTGTCATGGCAATCAGGGGAGCCCACAGCAGCTGCGCGCGCTCTCTCTGTCTGTAACTCCTCAGAGAGACAGAAACATTTAAAATGAATCCCCTCTAACCCATGGCCAGGAACGACCGAAATGAAAACCGAAAAGACCGTGAGCGTCGTCATCTTGTTGACTATAGCGCTGCCAAGTTTCAGTGGTTAAAGTTAAAAAAATGTGACCTGGGGAGATTGAGAGAGAAGAGGTTCAACGAACGTGTTTCATGATTGCTCCTCTAAAATTAACATGGGAGTAGATGGGGCCGTGAGAGGGCGTTGCTGGCGCATCAGTGCGTTTCCCGCCAAAACTATTTGTCTGACAGCTTCAGCAGTGGTATCACTGCGACCCCAACGGATTTACCTACGTTTCTATCTATACATTATTTCTGTAGAGTGAAATTTGTGGCCATGACAGCAGTTTACAAATTTATTTTTCGACAAATTTTCTCTCTCCCCAACACTCTAGCGATGATGTCACGCACTCTAGCGGTTGAACATTCTCGCAATACACACCCATTCATTTTTTGGACCGGTTTTTGGCGATTTACCGGCAAACCGTTTGGCGAAATTCTTAGAAAAGTCATAGCACTAATGTCCTCATCGAGCCGCACGTTTTGATACCTTTTTTGTGTATGTGCGACAAAAGCTCCGGGAGAAGAAGCGCGCCGAAAAACGTACGGAAGAATAATAATAAGTTTAACTAGAAAATTCCTAAAGCAATTTTGATTGTGCCTTGCTCTGGCCCATATGTTAATACCATGTCATTCTCTTTAGCTAGGGCTAGCACACATAAACACATTAACCAAAGGTAGCACTTAGCTATGTGCTAATCGCTAGCTAAGCACTAATCGCTAGCTACGTGCTAATCGCTAGCTAACCGCTAATCGCTAGCTAAGCGCTAATCGCTAGCTAAGTGCTAACCGCTAATTGCTAGCTAAGTGCTAGCTTTGGTTAATGTGTTTAATTGTATTATGCTCCTGAAGGAGTGCTAATGTAAATTAAGGAACAGCTCATAGTAGGGTAAAATATTTAAGGTGTATTGAACTTATTTTGTGTTAATATTAAAAATCATTCAGCTTTAAATTGTTTGTTTGTTAGCCACCTGCTAATTATCTTTAGCTAGCCAGCTAGCGCTAGATTATTAATGCCATGTAATCCTCCCTATAGCATATTGATAACCTGTCATTCTCTTTAGCTAGTTAGCTAGAGCTAGCACACATAAACACATAAACCAAAGCTAGCGCTTAGCTACGTGCTAATCGCTAGCTACCCGCTAATCGCTAGCTACGTGCTAATCGCTAGCTAACCGCTAATCGCTAGCTACATGCTAATCGCTAGCTAAGCGCTAGTCGCTAGCTAAGTGCTAGCTTTGGTTAATGTGTTTAATTGTATTATGCTCCTGAAGGAGTGCTAATGTAAATTAAGGAACAGCTCATAGTAGGGTAAAATATTTAAGGTGTATTGAACTTATTTTGTGTTAATATTAAAATCATTCAGCTTTAAATTGTTTGTTTGTTAGCCACCTGCTAATTATCTTTAGCTAGCCAGCTAGCGCTAGCTTATTAATGTCTTGTCATTCTCTGTAGCTAGCTGTGTGTGTGTGTGTGTGTGTGTGTGTGTGTGTGTGTGTGTGTGTGAGAGCAGGCTTTGGTTGTCATGGCAATCAGGGGAGCCCACAGCAGCTGCGCACGCTCTCTCTCTGTCTCTAACTCCTCAGAGAGACAGAAAACATTTAAAATGAATCCCCTCAAAAGCATGGCCAGGAACGACCGAAATGAAAACCGAAAAGACCGTGGGCGTCGTCATCTTGTTGACTATAGCACTGCCGAGTTTCAGTGGTTAAAGTTAAAAAATGTGACCTGGGGAGATTGAGAGAGAAGAGGTTCAACAAGCGTTTTTCAAGATTCCTCCTCTCCATTTTAATATGGGAGTAGATGGGGCCGTGAGAGGGAGTTGCTGGCGCATCAGTGCGTCTCCCGCCAAAACTATTTGTCTGACAGCTTCAGCAGTGGTATCACTGCGACCCCAACAAATTTACCTACGTTTCTATCTATAAATTATTTCGGTAGAGTGAAATTTGTGGCCATGACAGCAGTTTACAAATTTATTTTTCGACAAATTTTTCTCTCTCCCCACACTCTAGCGATGATGTCACGCACTCTGGCAGTTTTTTTCAGTTGGAGGTTCTCGCAATACACACCCATTCATTTTTTGGACCGGTTTTTGGCGATTTATCGGCAAACCGTTTGGCGAAATTCTTAGAAAAGTCATAGCACTAATGTCCTCATCGAGCCGCACGTTTTGATACCTTTTTTGTGTATGTGCGACAAAAGCTGCGGGAGAAGAAGCGCGCCCGAAAAAAGCGTACGGAAGAATAATAATAAGTTTAATAATAAGCACGAGGAAGAGTAGTATTGTGCTTGCTTATGCAAGGCACAATAATAATTAAAACTAGAAAATTCCTAAAGCAATTTTGATTGTGCCTTGCTCTGGCCCATATGTTAATACCATGTCTACGTGCTAACCGCTAATCGCTAGCTGTGCGCTAATCGCTAGCTAAGTGCTAACCGCTAGTTGCTAGCCAAGTGCTAGCTGTGGTTAATGTGTTTAATTGTATTATGCTCCTGAAGGAGTGCTAATGTAAATTAAGGAACAGCTCATAGTAGGGTAAAATATTTAAGGTGTATTGAACTTATTTTGTGTTAATATTAAAATCATTCAGCTTTAAATTGTTTGTTTGTTAGCCACCTGCTAATTATCTTTAGCTAGCCAGCTAGCGCTAGCTTATTAATGCTTGTCATTCTCTGTAGCTAGCTGTGTGTGTGTGTGTGTGTGTGTGTGTGTGTGAGCAGGCTTTGGTTGTCATGGCAATCAGGGGAGCCCACAGCAGCTGCGCACGCTCTCTCTCTGTCTCTAACTCCTCAGAGAGACAGAAACATTTAAAATGAATCCCCTCAAAAGCATGGCCAGGAACGACCGAAATGAAAACCGAAAAGACCGTGAGCGTCGTCATCTTGTTGACTATAGCAGTGCCGAGTTTCAGTGGTTAAAGTAAAAAAATGTGACCTGGGGAGATTGAGAGAGAAAAGGTTCAACGAGCGTGTTTCAAGAATCCTCCTCTCCTTTTTAATATGGGGAGTAGATGGGGCCGTGAGAGGGCGTTGCTGGCGCATCAGTGCGTCTCCCGCCAGAACTATTTGTCTGACAGCTTCAGCAGTAGTATCACTGCGACCCCAACGGATTTATCTACGTTTCTATCTATAAATTATTTCGGTAGAGTGAAATTTGTGGCCATGACAGCAGTTTACAAATTTTTTTTTCGACAAATTTTTCTCTCTCCCCACACTCTAGCGATGACATCACGCACTCTGGCAGTTTTTTTCAGTTGGAGGTTCTCGCAATACACACCCATTCATTTTTTGGACCGGTTTTTGGCGATTTATCGGAAAACCGATTGGCGAAATTCTTAGCACGTTTTGATACCTTTTTTGTGTACGTGCGACAAAAGCTCCGGGAGGAGTAGCGCGCCGAAAAACGTACGGAAGAATAAAATATTATAACTAGAAAATTCCTAAAGCAATTTTGATTGTGCCTTGCTCTGGCCCATATGTTAATACCATGTCTACGTGCTAACCGCTAATCGATAGCTGTGCGCTAATTACCTTTTATTAATTCCATGTCATCCTCTCTATAGCATACTGATAACCTGTCATCCTCCTTAGCTAGTGCTAGCATATTAATATCATGTCATTCTCTTTAGCTAGCTAGCTAGAGCTAGCACACATAAACCAAAGCTAGCGCTTAGCTACGTGCTAATCGCTAGCTAACCGCTAATCGCTAGCTACGTGCTAATCGCTAGCTAACTGCTAATCGCTAGCTACATGATAATTGCTAGCTACATGCTAATCGCTAGCTAAGCGCTAATCGCTAGCTAAGTGCTAGCTTTGGTTAATGTGTTTAATTGTATTATTCTCCTGAAGGAGTGCCAATATAAAATAAGGAACAGCTCATAGTAGGGTAAAATATTTAAGGTGTATTGTTCTTATTTTGTGTTAATATTAAAATCATTCAGCTTTAAATTGTTTGTTTGTTAGCCACCTGCTAATTATCTTTAGCTAGCCAGCTAGCGCTAGATTATTAATGCCATGTAATCCTCCCTATAGCATATTGATAACCTGTCATCCTCCTTAGCTAGCGCTAGCATATTAATACCATGTCATTCTCTTTAGCTAGCTAGCTAGAGCTAGCACACATAAACACATAAACCAAAGCTAGTGCTTAGCTACGTGCTAATCGCTAGCTAACTGCTAATCGCTAGCTACGTGCTAATCGCTAGCTAAGCGCTAATCGCTAGCTAATCGCTAGCTTTGGTTAATGTGTTTAATTGTATTATGCTCCTGAAGGAGTGCTAATGTAAATTAAGTAACAGCTCATAGTAGGGTAAAATATTTAAGGTGTATTGAACTTAGTTTGTGTTAATATTAAAATCATTCAGCTTTAAATTGTTTGTTTGTTAGCCGCCTGCTAATTATCTTTAGCTAGCCAGCTAGCTAGCTTATTATTGTCTTGTCATTCTCTGTAGCTAGCTGTGTGTGTGTGTGTGTGTGTGTGTGTGTGTGTGAGCAGGCTTTAGTTGTCATGGCAATCAGGGGAGCCCACAGCAGCTGCGCACGCTCTCTCTGTCTCTAACTCTTGAGAGAGACAGAAAACAATTAAAATGAATCCCCTCAAAAGCATGGCCAGGAACGACCGAAATGAAAACCGAAAAGACTGTGAGCGTCGTCATCTTGTTGACTATAGCACTGCCAAGTTTTAGTGGTTAAAGTTAAAAAATGTGACCTGGGGAGATTGAGAGAGAAGAGGTTCAACGAGCGTGTTTCAAGATTTGTCCTCTAAAATTAACATGGGAGTAGATGGGGCCGTGAGAGGGTGTTGCTGGCGCATCAGTGCTTCTCCCGCCAAAACTATTTGTCTGACAGCTTCAGCAGTAGTATCACTGCGACCCCAACGAATTTACCTACGTTTCTATCTATAAATTATTTCGGTAGAGTGAAATTTGTGGCCGTGACAGCAGTTTACAAATTTATTTTTCGACAAATTTTTCTCTCTCCCCACACTCTAGCGATGATGTCACGCACTCTGGCGGTTTTTTTCAGTTGGAGGTTCTCGCAATACACACCCATTCATTTTTTGGACCTGTTTTCGGCGATTTACCGGCAAACCGTTTGGCGAAATTCTTAGAAAAGTCATAGCACTAATGTCCTCATCGAGCCGCACGTTTTGATACCTTTTTTGTGTATGTGCGACAAAAGCTGCGGGAGAAGAAGCGCGCCGAAAAAGCGTACGGAAGAATAATAATAAGTTTAATAATAAGCACGAGGAAGAGTAGTATTGTGCTTGCTTATGCAAGGCACAATAATAAGCCCGAGGAAGAGTAGTATTGTGCTTGCTTATGCAAGGCACAATAATAAGCCCGAGGGATAATAGTATTGTGCTTGCTTATGCAAGGCACAATAATTATAGTCCAGTAGACTGAACTAAAACCTTCATAGTTAATGTTATGCCCCGACAATACATGAAGAGCAGGACTGAATGCAGAAGTGAGAAATATATTTGCATACACAAGAAAAAACATACACAGTGTGGCACATTTACAAATGAAGTGTTAAACTTCATGATGAACCACAGGCCAAAATATCAAACAAGAACCATGATTCAATCTTGCAGGAGTTTAACATTCTGCAATGTGTGCAGGCAATCATTGTCCAAGGTGCAGATCCTGAGACCTCTGTGGGATCATTTCAAACATTTTATGAAACTTCTGTGGCATTTTTATGCATCGATCTTCACTTTTCTTTTTATCTTGATTATTGTGGTATCCGAAGGCCTATAAATTTAAGTTACAGTTTGTTATAAGTTCAAGTGATATTTTTGTCAACATATATTGTTCACCTATAAAGCTCTTCATGGTCAGGCCCCTTCATATCTTAAAGAGCTCATAGTAGCCTATTACCCCACTAGAACATTACGTTCTCTGAATGCTGGGCTACTTGTGGTTCCTATAGTCTCTAAAAAGTAGAACAGGAGCCAGAGCCTTCAGTTACCAAGCTCCTCTCCTGTGGAACCAGCTTCCAGTTGTGGTTCGGGAGGCAGACACCCTCACCACATTCAAGAGTAGGCTTAAGACATTCCTCTTTGATAAAGCTTATAGTTAGGGCTGGATCAGGTGAGTCCTGAACCATCCCTTAGTTATGCTGCTATAGGCCTAGACTATCGGGGGATTTCCCATGGTGCACTGAGCTACTCTCTTCCTCTCTCTTTCTGCACTCATTCATGTCCCATTAATGCATGTTACTAACTCCACTTCTTCCCCGGAGTTCTTGTGCTTTCTCATCTCGCAGGTTCTCATGGATCCTGGTGGAGCCTCCTGCCATGGTCCTGCTTGACTGCCATTGCCAATACTGTTGTTGCTGTGCACCTGTCTGTCTGTCTGTCTCTCGCTCTCTCTCTGCCTCTCTCTCTCTCTCTCTCTCTCTCTCACCCCAACTGGTCGAGACAGACGACCACCCACCTAGAGCCGGAGGATCTGTCCTAGGTTTCTGCCTTTTAACAGGCAGTTTTTCCTTGCCCTTGTCGCCAAGTGCTTGCTCATGGTGTTACTGTTGGGTCTCTGTAATTAATGTTAAAGAGTTCGGTCTAGACCTGCTCTATTTGAAAAGTGTCCTGAGATAACTTCTGTTATGAATTGGCGCTATACAAATAAAATTGAATTGAATTGAATATGCAGTGTTAGTAAGACATGAGGTTGAACGTCGTAATTCTTACTATGAAATGTTTAGGTTAGGGGCCTCTTCGAAGCCCCTTGGACCTTTACCTTCTGACGTAAATATTTCAGTACATCTGATAGCTAAACCAGATGTTTCTTTACCATTTTCTTGAATAAACAATAGACCTATATAAACCTATGTTCGACGCAAACAGATAGAGTTATTCATTTGGCTGGATGCTCTCCAAGCTCCGCGGTGCTTGTATTGATGCTGAACTTTTTGTAATAAACCTTTATACAGTGGGTACGGAAAGTATTCAGACCCCTTTAAATTTTTCACTCTTTGTTTCATTGCAGCCATTTGCTAAAAATCAAAAAAGTTCATTTTATTTCTCATTAATGTACACTCAGCACCCCATCTTGACAGAAAAAAAAACAAAAATGTAGAAATGTTTGCAAATTTATTAAAAAAGAAAAACTGAAATATCACATGGTCATAAGTATTCAGACCCTTTGCTCAGTATTGAGTAGAAGCACCCTTTTGAGCTACTACAGCCATGAGTCTTCTTGGGAATGATGCAACAAGTTTTTCACACCTGGATTTGGGGATCCTCTGCCATTCTTCCTTGCAGATGCTCTCCAGTTCTGTCAGGTTGGATGGTGAACGTTTGTGGACAGCCATTTTCAGATCTCTCCAGAGATGCTCAATTGGGTTTAGGTCAGGGCTCTGGCTGGGCCAGTCAAGAATGGTCACAGAGTTGTTCCGCAGCCACTCCTTTGTTATTTTAGCTGTGTGCTTAGGGTTATTGTCTTGTTGGAAGGTGAACCTTCGGCCTAGTCTGAAGTCCTGAGCACTCTGGAAGAGGTTTTCTTCCAGGATATCTCTGTACTTGGCCGCATTCATCTTTCCTTCAATTGCAACCAGTCGTCCTGTCCCTGCAGCTGAAAAACATCCCCACAGCCTGATGCTGCCACCACCATGTTTCACTGTTGGGATTGTATTGGGCAGGTGATGAACAGTGCCTGGTTTTCTCCACACATACCGCTTAGAATTAACGCCAAAAAGTTCAATCTTGGTCTCATCAGACCAGAGAATCTTATTTCTCATAGTCTGGGAGTCCTTCATGTGTTTTTTGGCAAACTCTATGCGGGCTTTCATATGTCTTGCACTGAGGAGAGGCTTCCGTGGGGCCACTCTGCCATAAAGCCCCGACTGGTGCAGGGCTGCAGTGATAGTTGACTTTGTGGAACTTTCTCCCATCTCCCTACTGCATCTCTGGAGCTCAGCCACAGTGATCTTTGGGTTCTTCTTTACCTCTCTCACCAAGGCTCTTCTCCCACGATTGCTCAGTTTGGCTGGACGGCCAGGTCTAGGAAGAGTTCTGGTCGTCCCAAACTTCTTCCATTTGAGGATTATGGAGGCCACTGTGCTCTTAGGAACCTTGAGTGCTGCAGAAATTCTTTTGTAACCTTGGCCAGATCTGTGCCTTGCCACAATTCTGTCTCTGAGCTCCTTGGGCAGTTCCTTCGACCTCATGATTCTCATTTGCTCTGACATGCACTGTGAGCTGTAAAGTCTTATATAGACAGGTGTGTGCCTTTCCTAATCAAGTCCAATCAGTTTAATTAAACACAGCTAGACTCCAATGAAGGAGCAGGACCATCTCAAGGAGGATCAGAAGAAATGGACAGCATGTGAGTTAAATATGAGTGTCACAGCAAAGGGTCTGAATACTTATGACCATGTGATATTTCAGTTTTTCTTTTTTAATAAATTTGCAAAAATTTCTACATTTCTGTTTTTTTCTGTCAAGATGGGGTGCTGAGTGTACATTAATGAGAAATAAAATTAACTTTTTTGATTTTAGCAAATGGCTGCAATGAAACAAAGAGTGAAAATTTTAAAGGGGTCTGAATACTTTCCGTACCCACTGTATATACAATCAAGACGGTGTCAGCGGACTTCTCTTCAACACACATCATCGCTACCTAATATACAACTTTATCTCTGTTCCCCATTTTGTCCACTGCTTACTGGATATGTGTGTGTTAATTTAAGCTGAAAGTCATTACTTCATAGTCATTGCCATTCTACCCAAGTGCAAAGCCAATACAGCAAAATGTGCCACAGTTCTGATTTCTGACTGAAGATCACTGATATGTTAAACTATGCAATCGCATGCTCTTGAATGCTATCGAATCTCATTTTGCATTTATATCTTAACATATCAAACTTTATTTCAGAATTTCACAGATTAGCAACAATTCTATGCAAATATGGAAGAGGTCTATAACTCTCATATCACACACAAGAGACCACTCCCAGCTTTCTACACTTTTTTACTGCTGCTGCCTCTACATCTGCTTTCACCTCACCCACACAATGACACAAAAAACATTCTTCTGTTGCCTGTAGAGTTCACATCTTTGTCAAGTTAACTGCAGAATAGAAAGTCATTCTTCAGGAGGTGTTTTTAGGAGAAACATACAGCTCTGATCAGCCAGACTTCATCAGGTAAGATTCTGGTAACTCATCACACTTGATTGAGGTACAACATGAATGTTGCTGCACTACATTTTCTTCTAATATTTCATTTTGAAAGATTATCGTACATATACTGCTGTCTGGGTTTAGGAATAATGCAGCTTATTTAAAAGTTCTTCTTCAAAGTGTGTGTGACTTTGTTAAAATAGTAATAAGAATGAATAGAAAAGAAAGTCATATGTGAAAGGAACTGTTTTCAATTTAGATAAAAAAAACTTTTTAATGTATTAGAGTGTTCTTTCAGATTTGTATATCCTGTATGAGGACATTAACAATGCCAGTATTTTCTGTATAAGTAAATGGTTCTTGAATGCGAAGATTAGTGTTGTTTGAAGTATATTTATAGTATTGTAATAACGGTGGGTAATGTTTACAATTGTATTTTCTATTCAGTTTAATTTCATCTAAATATCCAACAGTGTATTACACCAACAGAACCTCAGAGACGTAAGGACAAAGAGAGGAAGATGATGGTATTCTGTCTGCTTGTGGCAGGTAACATAATTAGTCACCTCTTTGTTTCCAATCTCAATCCTATTGTACTTCCTAGTTCACCCACTTTGGGTCGTGAGGCCTTCTTGATTTTAAGGAGTGTAAGAAAA